GGGGGGGGGGGGTCCTCGGATCCCGAGCGCCCCCCCCGCCCCCCCCCCCCGGTCTGGCAGGTTCCGCTGCTGCTGCTGCTGCTGCTGCTGCAGCGCCCCGCTCACAACATAGAATTTTTGCTCACAAGACTCCACAGCTGAGAGGGAGCATTGCTGGCAAGGTGTCAGTGTTTCCTTTAAGCTGAGTTAGTGTGAGCTAGGTCACAATTATTCAGCCTCCGGCTCACACATTTTTGTCTTGGATCAGGAAGGATGGGGCTCCAGCACAAACTGATTGATGCAGCAGCCAAACTCACAGGACTCCACAGCTTAGAGGGAGCGTTGGTGACAACCCCATGCTTGGGTCTGGCCTGCCAGAAACCTGCTTAGCAGGCAGTGACAGAAGTCTTTTTTTCAAGCCCCATTCGTCCTCTTGCCTTTTCTCTGGGCTCATCCTCCCCTACCTTGGGACCTGGTTTTGGGCCTGGAACCACTAAATTAGGTCACAAGCTCCTTGCGCTAGAACTTTGTGTCTCCATTTGGGAGGGCCACCTGGCCTCTCTGGCACTAGGTGTCACTTGTGTGGAAGGAACCTGGTCTAGATGAGAAGCCCGTAGGGTAAAAAAAAAAGCTGCGTTCCAGAGCTGGTGCTTTTCTTTTGGGCAGCAGCTGGCTGGCTGTTGGGAGCTGTGTTTGGGCAGAAGAGCTGGAAGCGTTGAAGGAGGTCAGGAGAAGTGCTGATGCTCCTGCAGGCGGAACCTCATGAGATTCTAGGGATGGGCAAAGTGCCGCCCTCTTTTCTGAGCAGCTTGTCATTTATGCCGGTGGCTGAAGCCTTTGGAGGCAGTAATTAAGTCTGCTTCCTTGCCAGTTTCCCAGAACGTGTTCTGCAGAGCCTGCTCCTGACCTGGTAATGTGCACAGATACCTTATGGTGGCCACAGCTGCTGGGAGGTGTTGTCTCTAGTAGAAGCTGTTTTCTGCTGGGGTAGGAATCACTTAGAGCTGGCTTCAAAACCCTGGCCAGTGGCTCTTTCTCAGGGCAACATCCTGTCAGGATTCCAGTTCTCTTTTGTGCCCCGGGTTTCTCAGACCAACTATATGACGTTCCTTCAGTTGGGAAAGGTGGAGCGAGAGTCCTGAGCACGAGAGTTGCCACAGGTGGCATTCAAATACTGATAATGGGTGCCACTTGTGGTGGTGTTTTTCCTTCTCTAGGATAACTGGGATGAGGAGGAGGAGGAGGAGGAGGAAGAAAAGGAGGTGGAGGTAAAACCAGGTAAGCAGCCAAGGAGACTACGTTGCATGCAGAAAGTCCTAGTTGTGGGCTTGATGCTTGGGAATTTTGGGAGTCCTGATGCCACCCTGTTTGCATGGATGGAAGTCCAGGCAGGATACCTGCAGCTTGCGCCTGGCTTAATAGCGCTTCTTTTTCCTGACGTTCTCAGCGTTTAAAAAACAATGATGTTGTGCCCTGTTCGCAGAGCCCAAAGTTTCAGAAAAGAAGAAAATAGCAGAAAAAATAAAAGAGAGGGAAAATCAGCAGAAGAAAAAGCAAGAGGAGATTAAAAAAAGGGTAAGGCTTCTTTTAGTGGAGATCGGTGAGCCGCTTCGGTGCCCTGCTGCCCGACGGAAACCAGGCGTCTAAGGAAGAAGCCGCTCTTGGTGTCAGAGTTCGGGGAAGAGTTTTCCAAAGATTAACCGTGCAGCCTGGCAGCCCCCTTGTCTGGATTGGCTGGGCTTGTGCCACGTGGCAGCCTGCAACATCTTCAGTTGCTCCAGATCGGAATGTCTGCTGGAAGTGTGTCTGCTCCAAGCTGGCTTCTTGCGTCTGCCTGGAGACCGTTGAGTGAGGTTAGGGGCAGCGGAGGGCATTCCGTAGCTTCTCAACTGTGCACCATCCCTCTGGGGGAGGTGAGCTTCTTTCTCTCTGAATGAGACTCTTTTGTACAATAACAGTTAAGGAAGAGTTAGATTTAGTTTCTGTTTGTAAGACTTCTGCCTGCTTCTCTCCTTGTTGGTGGAGACAAGCATGTAAGTGAGGCAAGTATCCACTGTATCAATCCAGTGCTCGCATTTTCCCTTCCAGCTTAGTTGTAGTAAGTAGCATTGAAGCACTGCCCAAGAGGTTCTGCGTGGCACTGAACTTGGCTCTATGTCTTTTTAGTTAGAGGTATCAGAAGAACCGAAGGAGCTGACGCCAGAAGAGCTGTTAGCAGGTAAAATCCGGCTACAGAAATTACAAGAAGAGGCCGACCTTGAAGTAGCAAAAGAAATTTTTGGTGAGTTCAAAGATGCAAGCACATCTTCCTGTGGTGGTGAGATGGGAGTGTGTGTGTGTGTGTTTTTTCAACCTGCCAGATTTCAAGGTTGCAGGGTAAATAATAAACTTTGAAAGAACAAGAATGGTTGACAGTGCATTGCTTGCATCCAGAAGGCCCAAAGAGAGGCACCCTAATTTTGCAACCCTGTCGTCTGCTGCTAGCTTTCCCTAATGCCCGGCCTTTCCTCTGCAGGCGAAAACAACACGTTTGGAATAGATGCTATGAATCCATCTTCAAAAGATGACTTTACGGAATTTGGAAAAGTTTTAAAAGAAAAAATAACACAGTATGAGAAATCCCTATATTATGCTGGCTTTTTGGAAACCTTAGTTCGAGACATATGTATTTCATGTAAGTATGTTAGAAAAAAAAGTTCCCTTCTATGTTGATTCTATTTATAAATGTGTGTGGGGATAACATGGAGATCGAGCGAGGGAAACAAACTGGGCAACTTTTATGTCAGGAGATAGGCTTTGCTGGATACTTACAACCCTCACCGCGGGGGGGGGATTATTTTTCTAGGAAAAAATGTTGGGGTGGAGGGAATGCAGTATTTACGGTTTGCCAAAGCTTTGTTTTGCTGTGGTAAAATCACAAAATGCTCCAGGTGCATCAAACTGAAATATCTGGGGTGTTTACATTTCTCAGTATAAACGTTTTAGTTTTGCTCAAAGTGCAAATCTACCCATGGGGGGGGGGGCAGGTGTTGCATGTAGCTGCACTCTACACTTCGTTTCAGCCAATTGAGGCTTTATTACCTGCGGAAACAGACCTTTGGTAATTTCTGTCTCCCCCACCTGCTTCCTCTCTGTTTTATCCTCCAGCCCCTGTCAACCCCCCTCAGCAAGTTGCTCATTTCCCCGTAGCCAGAGAGAGGGGGAAAGACTGAGCACAGGGGGGCAGGTCAAGAGAACAGGAAGCGGATTCAGAGTTATCAGCTTCCAGCATCTCTAAAGTAGACTAAAGTTTCCAGAGGAAGGCAAGCAAAGAATTTCACTCTTCCCAAAGAAAGAATATTTCACAGGGATGTTTACAACACCCCCCCCCCCCCAAATCTAAATTTTCTTTTTGGGAAAAATGGAGTAAAGGCTTTTGGGGAATTATGTCCCCCAGATGTGCTCAGAAAGGCCTGCAAATGAAAAAAAAACCCTTTTATTTCCCATTTAGTGGAAGTTGATGACTTGAAAAAGATCACAAATTCCTTGACGGTTCTATGCAGTGAGAAGCAGAAACAAGAGAAGGTGGGTCTCGGCCTTGCTTGCTTTCTGAGTTGGGGTGGGTGGATGGGTGGCTGATTAACCGGAGCTTCTGCAGCCACAGCCCTGTTGTCTTTTGCCTGTTGCCTTCCACGTAATGTGTCAGCGTTTTCCTGCCCCTCTGCCCTTGCTCCCATTACGCGTACACTTAGCACCCTTACAGTTCACTAAGCAGCCTAAAGAAAATGTTAGTTTTATTTCAGCGGCCTGAGATGACACTGATTGTGTACAAGCTAGTCCACAAACGTTCAGCTTCTGCAAGAGAAATCTTTGAGCAGCTTTCTTTTTTCACTTTATGACTGTCTGTTTCTGCGATGTAGTACAGAGGGCGCTGTCTTTACACACACCCATTGTTCTCTACCCTAAATAAAGCTGGCCTCTCTTGTCCCCTCCTCTAGCAAAATAAAGCCAAAAAGAAGAAGAAAGGCGTGGTGCCAGGCGGGGGCTTGAAGGCGACCATGAAAGACGACCTTGCGGATTATGGTGGCTACGACGGGGGTTACGTTCAAGACTTCGAAGACTTCATGTGACCTTTCTCCTCTTTTATGTTGTCTTTCTGTTGCCCAGAATCCCGTAAATGTGTAGCACAACTTATTTCCTTTAAATTCTGCCAAATGCTACAATCAAAAGTGCAGCAGTATTTTTGTGCTGGCAGCCTTTTGAGGCCCAGCTGCAAAAGCATTGGATGCCCCATCTTGACGTCAAGGGAATAAAATTGAGGCTGAGTTTGCTTTGCTTGATCATAGGACAGGACAGGACTTTAAAGAATATTTGACTTCATAGCAGCAGAAGCAGCACCCAATTGGAAATGCAAGGCCCAAATTAGGTTACCGGCACCACATAGTAATAACCTCCTTAACTGCGCTCTCCAACTGACTCTCCACCCGACTCTCCACCCGGGTAACAGGTGCAGTTTGCAGCAGGCATAGCGGGGTGGGTGTGCAGCATTAGTGTTAAGAATGGCTTTCCTCTGTACACGTAGAGCTTGAGATGTTTGTGGGAGGGGCTGGCGAGTGCCTGGTTTAAGGTGGGACCGGTCCACTTGGGGGGGGGGGGAACGTGTCTTTCCCGTCGAAGCGCATTTGAGTGTTTACAGCACTTCGACTTCTTGGGAATTCTTTGCCACCTGGTCTCTGTGGCCATGGCCGAGCGCCATCTTCTTTCATTTACAGAAACCCTGCTTATCAAACTGCAACAGTTGCGACAGTTGGGCAAATTGTTATGTTAACAATTACGACATCTGCAATGTTTTATAAAAAGTAACTAATTTAATAAAATCACTATTGTGAGGGCTGAGAGCGTGGTCCGCCTGTGTTTGCAGCGGGGACGGGGTCTGCCGCTGGAGTCGGGTGACCCCGGAAGCGGAGGCTCCTCCGCCCGTCTTGGACTGGGCTGCGCTGCTGCATTGACACCACCCGCGGGGAAACAGCGTTCGGCAGTTAGATAGCAGTGGGGTTCTGCGCACCTCCGTGGCATGCGGCGGCTGGGTGAGGCCGTGCTGCTCCCACTGCTGGCAGGAGGAAGGGGAAGGCCTTGCCCCGGCCATGGGGGCCAGGGCCCCTCCGCCTGAGTTGTTGGGGGAGTCCAGCTGTGAAACCGTTGGCGCTCTTTCCAAATAAAACTGGGCGGGATTACCCTGCATCACCCAGTGAGGATTTGAGATTGTGCACGGAGTGGCAAGCCGTGTGCTCTCGTAGCAGAGGGCACCCTCTTCTTCCCCTATGCCTAGTCCTGCCGTCACCACAGAATGTCTCTGCTCTTCTCCTGGACTGACAGAGTTGAACCGAAGACTGGACAAGCCCCAATTGTGCCGTTTTCTCAAGCTGCGCACGGTGAGTGTGTGCGTGTATCCGGGTGTGCGTATGTCGCCCAGCGTCCATATGATGGTAAGCTCCTTGGCTGCTGTGATCTGTATAGCACAGGAGGGTGCTGGAGTTGGCAGAGTGCTGCACTTGGCGTCTCAAGCCTAAAGTGCTGCCGGGGATGTGCGACTTTTAGATGGTGGCAGTCAGGCAGATGGACACCCTATACCAGTGGTGGCAAACCTATGGCACGGGTGCCAGAGGTGGCACTCAGAGCTCTCTCTGTGGGCACGTGTGCCATCGCCCCAGCCAGGCCCAGGCCGTCATTAAAGTGTCGAATTCTGTGCCAAATAATTTTAAGTAAATGAAAGCATTTGGGATTGTTTGGATCATCTTAAGTTAATGTATGAGTTGTTTTTTCTAAAGTACAACCTTAGTATTCAAGTTAAATTGCCGTGTGGCACTTTGCGATCAATAAGTGGGTTTTGGGTCGCAGTTTGGGCCCTCTGTCTCTAAACGGTTCGCCATCACTGCCCTATACAAAACAAGGCAGGAGGGAATGGGCATTTTTGTTTGGGCAAATTGTGTTGTGTTGTGGTGGAAGTTAAACAGGGGAAACAGAAAGAATGCTCGCTTTGCTGACGGGAGGAGATCTGACAGGACAGTCCGTCCGAACTCCGACACGGAGCCCTAGTTCCACCTCCCCCCAAACAGCTATGGGGGCTCGGGCCAGGCTTGCAGCCAGCACACGAGGAGCTCGCCAAACCACTCTGGAGCCCAAGAGCACGTGAGCGGAAACGTAGAAATGTTGTCCTGAGAAGAGAAAAGAGGGTATGGAAGGTGGTGCATCACTGGCTCAGAACGCCAAAGAGCCATGGCTTCCCAGCCCGTGGAGTGCAGCAAGCCAGGAGCCAGGGCCGTCCCCCCACCCCACACGCTTTGCTAGCAGCTGTTGGAAGCTCTGCCTGGAGAAGCAGCTGGTGCACCAAGCATGGCTTCTGTGCGCCTGACAGAATAACCAGAGTTTGTGCAGCAAGTGACGGTTTACATAAACCGGTTTATCTTCATGTCTGAACAGGGCCAGCCACTTCCGGAGTTTCCCACTTCGCTGGGACCTTTGTGGGCGAACGTTTGCTCAGATATGGACAAACCTAATCGCTCTTAACAGGTGACATGCACAGCCCAGCAGTGAGCCAGAGTTGTTCACCAAGAACTTTTAAGAGCTGGAGGGCTTTTTTAGCTTTTACAGAAATGAATACGAAATGCTGATAAATTGAGCAAAGTACAGGGCAGGCGAGGCCCTCTCAGCCCCTGAGCAGAACAACTCACAAGTTCAACAGGTTAGCTTGCAGCTGCAATCAGAAGAAAACACCCAACTTCTCCAGTCCCTGCCCGTCGACTTCCCAGCTTGAAGTGAAGCTTGGAGACGGCACAGCTCTTGCAAAAGTTCCTTGCAACCTCTTCTTGCTCACAAACAATGCTTTGACGAGATGACTTGGTAGTCAAACACAAACAGGATTGAAATCCACAGGTAGAGAGCGCTGGGCTGTGGCTGTAGAGAAAACTTCTTGGGGGAGTGAATCCTCCTGAACTGGTCTTCTCCTCCTGGCCACACAACAGCTGCACCTCTGCACATCCATCACGGGAAACAGGAGTAGATCCTTTCTTCTCCTTGGACAGGTAGCCAGCGCTGGCTTCAACTGGAGAAACATACACGTGGGAGAGTGGATCTCTCACTGCCCCTTCTCCAATGCTCAGCGCAATGCTCCGCGCAACCACAGCTGCCTCCTCTGGAGTAAAGCTTCTCCCCAAGGCAGGTAAACAGAAATCTTCAGACGACAAGGACAGTTCAAACAGCATTCAGGCGATTTTGGCTAGCAACAGCTGCATTTCAGCACCACTCTTGCAGGACAGATCTGTGATCTCCTGTGAAACGCTTGAGAGCATCGATGACGAACTGGCCTCTTGCTTCCCAACTCCTGGCTGGTTACATGCACAGCATTGAGCAAGGCAGACCCAATTCACAGTCTCTGTGCACTAGGGGCCTCATAAGCCAGCAACAGCCAGACTTCTGCGCTTCTCCCATGCTCCACCTCTGGTATATAATTCCTAACTAAACTTTAAAATAACAAAAACTTCTCTCCCCAGTCTGAGCAAGTTCTGTATACAGGCAAAACGCCCTTGATGATGGCAACTGAGCTCCAGTCCATTGATCCCACCGCTGCCACCATGTATAGGATCCGGCCCCCACGCCTCACTAGGAATGAGGGAAGGACTCCTATATTAACAATACAATAACCACCATGCCCAGCTCCACACCTCCTCAGAGATGCACTCTTAAGATTTAATGGTAGCACAGCCAGCTAGGCCCAAGGATTTAGCCTTAGAGTCAGTTTGCCCATCAATCATCACACAAGTTATAAACAGAATAAAAGTTTATTTAACACAGAACTTAGCAATCAGACCAGAAAAGACATTAAACAAGAAATCCTATGGCTCTGTGTGGCCCTTAATAAACATTAAAGATCTACATAGTTACCAGGGTAGTCCATTTGTCCAAGACAGTCCATTTGAACAAAGTCCACTAAGTCTCATCTTTGTGCAAGCATAGGGCCATGCGGCCAGCTCACAAATCCTTTGTTCTGTCTCGCAACACAAGTAGCTCTGTCCTTGGATAAGACCCCTGTTGTTCCTACAAGACTTACCTGCAGCTTTTTTTAAGACATGAAATCTGGCTCCTAAAAATATGGTCAAGGGATGGTCTCTTTAATACACGGAAAGTTAGATATTTACAGAGCACATTTTTATATACAGCAAAGTGTCCTCTTTCAACTGCGAATCCCACAGACCAGCCGCACTACAAGGGGAGGAGAGTGACCAGCCCCCCCCCGCCCCCCCCCCCAAGGAAACCCAGCAGCAAAAGCCTCCCACTTCCCGCTTCTCTTGCCGAGGGGGTCGCTCTGAGGCAGCTTCCCAGGGCAGCACAAGAGGTCCTGGCGATGGGACCTTCTGTTGCCACAGACAACGGCTACTTCTCAGAAGTCTGACCTGAGTCCAGCAGGCCGGGCCGCACTAGCTGACTAATTACCTGCAGTTGACCCATCCCCACCACTGCTTCCCACTGTCGATGGGGGGAAAGGAAGAGGCGAACGGGCGGCCCTTGTCCTGTGCCAGTCCGACGCCCGGCCTAGTTTGCCAAAAGGTCGTTCAAGCAGGAGCCCGTCTGGGGGTCCTGCAGCAGCATCGTCACCACGTCATACAGCTCGTGATCGTAAGCCAGCTTGTAGTATACATAGATGTCCTCGCAGTAAGTCAGCAGCCGCTTCAGGTTCTTCAGAGGAGCCGCGCTGCTGCTGGGGTGCTGCTTCAGCCTGGAACAGAGGGGCACGTTCGTAAGAAGAAGAGACGAGATACCCCATGGCCCTTCACTGCCCGAAGGCGTCTCAGAGCGGCTTACAATCTCCTTTCCCTTCCCCTCCCCACAACAGACACCCTGTGAGCAGTGTTCTCTCTAAGCTGAGTTAGTGTGAGCTAGCTCACAATTTTTTAGCCTCCAGCTCACACACTTTTGTCTTGGCTCAGGAAGCCAGAGCAAACTAATGTATGCAGTAGCCAAATGGCTCGCTCACAACTTTAATGCCAGGAGCTCACAAAGTAGGGGTTTTGCTCACAGGACTCCACAGCTTAGAGGGAACATTGCCTGTGAGCAATGCTCCCTCTAAGCTGTGGAGTCCTGTGAGCAAAACCCCTACTTTGTGAGCTCCTGGCATTAAAGTTGTGAGCGAGCCATTTGGCTACTGCATACATTAGTTTGCTCTGGCTTCCTGAGCCAAGACAAAAATGTGTGAGCCTGAGGCTAAAAAACTCTGAGCTAGCTCACACTAACTCAGCTTAGCGGGAACATTGCCTGTGAGGGAGGTGGGGCTGAGGGAGCTCTGACACAAACTGCTCTTTTTCAAGAACAACTGCGCCAGAACTATGGCTTGCCCAAGGTCATCCAGCCAGGTGCAAGTGGAGGAGTGGGGAATCAAACCTGGTTCTCCCAGATCAGAGCCCGTGCACTTAACCACTGCACCAAACTGGGCAGCCGCCAGACCCTTCACTGATAGCTCAATCCAAGACTTAAACAGCCAGGAAGGAACTGGGGATTGCTACTGTGTCACAGTTTAGACGTGAAGATGGGAGCAGGCCCCCCCGAAAGCTCATCTGCCACCAGTTTTGTTATTCTTTAGGGTGCTATTGGACTCTTGCTCTTTTCTACTGCTACAGTGTCCATGTATGTTTCATTCACTTAGTTATGGTTTAAACTATATATATACACACATACAAGGGGCGGGACCCGCGATACTCGTGGGAGGGGGGAGCTCCACACCTATCTATCAGGAAGAGGAGGAAGCAGGAGGAGGAGGTAAGTTCCCCCCCATCCCGCCGGTTCCCTCCCCAGGCGGCTTACAGCCGCCCGGGCCTCACTGCCCTTCCCCGCCCAGCTCCGAAGCGGTATCCCCCCCGATATTTTTTTGCAGGTTTCAGATTTTTGTGCACACCTGGGGACTGCCCCAAGTATGCACAAACATCTCCCTCCCCCCCAGGTGCCCTCGATGTGCGGAAATAAGTATCCGCACGCAGGGGGCGGCTTCGGTATTAGATATATAGATATAATAAACCACCTGAGAGCCCTCTACGGCCTGAGAGGCAAGGAACTGGAGAAGGGGGCGGTGTCTGGGCCCCTTCCTTGCAGCCACGCAGCCCAGCGCCTGAGCTGTGCGGGAAACGTGCTTTGAGGGAAAGACCTCCACAGCAAGGCCGGCCTGCAGACAGCGAACCCTCTGGGGCTGCAAAGAGGACTCACTTCCGAGCAACGTCCTCAAAGGTGCTCGCCTTGAGCAGGCCTCGCTGCTTGTACTCCTCCAGGTAGCTGAAGTCACCCTTGACAATCACTTGCTGGTACAGGACCTCCGACCAGTCCGGAACGTAGTCGTAGGCATCGGCCACGATCGAAGCCTAAAGGGGGAGACATTTTGGAGAGGGTGAAGCGAAGAGAGAGAGAGGCCAGACGGGTTAAGCATCCTGGGAAAGGGGGGGGGGGAGAGAATCATTTTACTATGAATTTCCATTCCTGGTGGCTCCAAAATGGGCCAGTCTCTTCGGGGAAAAAGAGACAGGGCCTTCTGTTGTTTGATAACAAAGTTAAATGGAAACAAAGTGGAGTTTAAAAGTATTGCCACAACTGGGCAAAAAGCAAACCGGGGGGGGGGGGAGTTGTAAGACAGTTACCTGTAAAGTAAATATTACAGGTAAATGTTATCCCCTGAGCTGGGGATAGAATATTTATTTTATTTAGAAATCTTAGGCTGCTTTTCCATTTGGAAGTGCATATAGAGGAAATAAAAAATTAAATGCCCTACAAGCAGCCGGAGACCTTAAGCCACATTGACCGAAGTGTGGAGGAGGACAGAAATTCCCCACATGATAACTCAGTGAGCAAAAGATCCAGACGGAAGACAAATCTGAGAAACCTCTGAAGCTCACATACATTGACCCCAACCAGTAAAAGCCTGGGAACCTAAAACCATCCGAATACTAACAGGACTGTATTTGTAAAATAATGTAAATCTCTTTGAGGCCTTCGTGGTTCAAAAAGTGGGATGGATGGATAAAGGAAAGAGGAACCCAAAGTATCAGGGAGCTGAAGCCCTTTCCCTATGAGTAGGGGTCATTTCCTGCAGGAGCGCACGGGAGCAGAGCTCCGGCAGTAAAGAGCCCAGGGGGCGGGCACATGTAACAAGCCCCACCCCCTGCTCCCAGCAGCCCTCAGTCAGAGCAAGAAGCAGCCAGGTAAGCTGCAGAAAACCCCCCCCCCCAACAGTCCAGTGGCACCTTTAAGACCAAGTTTTATTCAGGTACAAGCTCTCCCTCCTGGCGAGCTTCCCCGGGGTGTCTGTTTCGCCACGGAGGAGGGATTCAGGAGGATGCTCGACCAGATGGCTTCCGGTCTGACCCGCGGCAGGGCTCCGACACCCCCCCCCTCCCTCCCTCCCTCCCTCCCTACCTGGTAGAACCTGGGCAGGTTCACGATACACTCGAGCAGGTCCTGCTGGCGGAGGCTGATCAGCCTGGCGCTGTGGCCGGTGTGGAGGAAGTGGAGCTGCAGCGTGATGAGCTTGGTCAGCCTGTTGCAGCGCAGGGACTGGCGCACGCAGGAGTCCTAGGAAGGGAGCGGAGGAGGGAGTCGGGCGCGCAAGGAGGAGCCCCGGGGCTACCGTGACCAGCACAACGCCCACCTTCCTGCACCCGCCTGCAAAGTATCCGGTGAGAGCCTCATTGCCGGAATTCCTCAGAGCCGTTTCCCCCAGGAGGGATAACCCTGCCTGCCGACGCTGCTTTATACAAGACAGAGTGAAAACGCTGTGCTCTCTTGCTGTGAGGAGGGTCGTGGAGAATTTCACCCAGACTTTTAGCTTAAAAGAGGAGGAAGGAAGAACTGGGGGGGGGGGAGAGCCTGTGATGGGGGTTCCCTAAGAGAGACTGCTCAGTTTTCCTCCAATACATGCCTGTTCCTGAACGGGCTATCATCCTTCATCATAAAACCACAAGAAAGGAGGGATCCCTTGCTTCAGGTCTCCCTTGTTTTTCTGTTAGGAAAATAACCTGATCCATGGATTCTCCCCCTTTTCATAACCCTAACCGGCTAGCTTGGGCGGCTCTCCTTGCTTGGCCTCCCCGAAAGGGACTTCTGTGATGGAGGACAGCCCCTCCCTCCCGCCGGCCTCGAGGATCACACCCGGATGGCCAGGAAGGCTTTTTCCCGGCCAGCAGTCAGACTGGCAACCATCGGGGGCACCTGCCGAGCTCAGACCCTCTTCTCTGTTTGCTCAGTACAGGGAGAACAAACCCTGGAGCCTCTGCGTGCGCTGGCTCAGCATGGCCGAGGGAGAGAGAAAAAGGCCGATCCTAATCCCATTTACATACAGGACGGAGCAAGCGACTCCAGAAACCGCAACCGACACAGCTGAGCACCTGGCCACGCAGTCCCTGATCCCTGCCCTGTTTACCTTGGAGTAGCTCTCGGCGGCATCTAGGAAGAGGGTCAGGGCCCTCATCAGACGCTTCTTCAGGTTGGGAATGTCCTGGAGGCTCTCCTCTGAAAAGGAGGGAGGGGACTGGTCACCGGGGGCAGGGAGGCGGCCTGCTTTGGGGGCCAGCTAGGGAACGGGGGGGGGGGGGGCAGC